CAAGTCGACCTACGGTCCGAAGCAATCAGTCTGCATTGCTGTTGAGAAGGGTGGACCTCGGCGCTTCATACCAGGGGACCCTCTTCTGACATGCGTGAGGTCGCACATTTAGGAAAGCCAATTAGAGAAAAGCACAAAGGGATTCAAGTAACCGCTTCTTCCGGTAATACTGCTACTTGTCTTTGTTAATCCAATAAGTTAGTCTCGACTAACTGATTCAGACGAGCTACATCAGGTCGGCTATTGGCAGCTCGTTCCATCGATTCCTCCACATTAACAATGAAAGTTGCTCAGGGTGCGTCTCAGCATGGAGGCCATTCCAACCAGTTCTGGCTCCTCACTTTGTCGTAAGTTAGTGCATTAACCAAGTACATAAGCTTCAAATACTCTTCTGCTGTACAGATAATCAAACACAATGCCCACCCAAATCTTTCGCAAAATGTTGTATCATTTGTGAAAATAACCAAGAAGCATGGTGTGGTTATCCACGGTAACTTGATTCTCGAATATGAGTAGAACAGCGGAAATCTCACAACACCCATAAGAAACAAGTGTTAGTATGTCACATGAACATTAACCGTAATGCCACCTATCACTTCCCATTTTGTATTGCCTTAATAGAAAGTAACTACGTTCTCAAATTCCAGAGAGGTAGTGGGGGTCTTGAATGGTATAGGTAGAAATTCTTCACATCTAGACGCACTCAGACAGCCATCACATGCCCGAGAAAGCACTGGATGCGCGTTTCATTCTTTGGGCATCGTCAGCAGTACGCATTCTATCGGACCCTCCTGCTCTGTAATCAGTACGCAAACCAAACTGCTTATAACGCCATCAGTTAATTGGCGGTTTAGGTTTGGTGAGTTCGTCGCTTGGTGAGGGGGCTACCCTGTCCTCAGCACGGCAGTAACATGCAAGTCAGTGGATAGTGAGCGCTGCTATATCACAACTACTAACTTATTCACGATGGTTGTTGCCGGCCCCTGTAACTCAGTGGTCTCAACCACGGACTGGCAACAGTCGAGTTGCGGTTTCGAGCCCTACCAAGGGTCCGATGGAATGCGCACTGCTGATGATTCCCGAAAGGATGAAACGCGCGTACAGTGCTTTTCCGGGATTGTGGCGGCTGTCTGAGTGAGCCTAGATGTGACGAATTTCTACCCATACCATTCTCAACTTCATCCGGAGTGGAGGGCAAGTTTCCCGAGGCAACGCACTTCTAATGGTCTTCTTTTCAGGCATATCCTAACTGCTGGACTAAGTCCAATCACCGTTTGACAGTCAATCCTCGTTGTACACGTGGTTTGTATTCGGATATTTCGATTCTAGTAACGTACTACCGCTCCCACTTGAAACATTCTAACCATTACACTTGCTCGACGTGTCGCTAGAAGTAGCACTGGAACGGCGATAAGGTTGCCTTAAAGTTGTCTTTGGGAAAAGTGTTTGAATGTAACTAACCAGTCCGATAGAGCCATTGCATGTACACCCGAGTCCATCAGCATTGTGCTAGCTTGCCGTAGATTAGACAATCGTTTCCCCAGAGTGAGAATGCGAGTCGATCCTTCATGCCAAGACGAATCGCATCACATAACTACTACCATAATGTCACTAAAATGTACCAAACTAAGAGAATGTACTGACTACGCGACTACTTCTCATTGTATGTGCCTTGGGACCGATGACTTCTACAGGTGCCGAGTCCGTCAGCCTGAATTCGTTCGGGTCATCGATATAACAGCTAGAGCTCCTACTTATTATTGTCTAGCACTTCACCTCGAAGTAGTTTGTCAAAGGAAATGCGAAGTATATGGCGGAAGCAGTATAAGCGGTTCCGGTTCAACGAACAATGTTATATCACGGGATTTCTTTTCAAATGCCAAATGCATATGTGCGGTTCAACTCTGAGGCTCTATTAGGGTTGACAGCTGCTGTCCGCAGACAAGTTGTCTCCGCTTATGCTACTGCTGACTGCAGTTCTGAGGGTGTTAAAGACGAATTCTCTCGTCAGATCACATTTCTTATCCTTATGATGAAGCCGACTAAGCTTGTAATCGGTTACGTTAGTATGAACGCATAAGGGGATCACCTTTTGGACCCTAGACAACACCTAGGAAACCGTTTCTGGTCGATGTATGCTGAACAGAAGATGGTGACTGTTTTCTACAAACGATCTTATCATGTCAACTAATACCCGTCGAATTGCTTGATGAGCTGAAATAAGCTTACCACATTGCCACCAAGTGCATATGACAAATATCAGTTAAATATTGCCGGTCAAATTGGAGTATGTGCATAGATTCTGACCAGGCTCTAGTTCGTACACATTACACATCATTAATAGCGCTAAGACTCGTTAGTCGAGGCTGCGAAATACATCTCAACTAATGTGCACCAGTATAAAAAATAAAAGATTTGATATTGCAGACAAGCAGAAAAGAACAAAGACAAGTACCTTAATGCTAAATATGATATCGTTGTTGGAACGTGAAGATAAAGGGGAGAAGGAGAAAAGGGAAGTGTAAGAAACTCACAACACAAACGTCACTGAGACTTTCTCCTAGCAATACCAACAAGTGTATCCAACCAAACGTATTCATCGTACTTCGGACCTCAGCTCGGCAGTCGAGAGACACCAACCGATGCGAAGTCCGGAGTGCTTTCATTCCTTTTGACCAAGTCCTCTCTTGATCTGATCTCCTCACCTCAGCTGCGCAAACAACGCACACCGCGGTCGTCGATGTACTCGCATGCGCCACACCTGGATCAGCCATCGGAGCCTGGTGTGTGATATAAAAATGTTCAGAGTTTCACTCGCTCTTCCTGCGCCAGATACTCGGAGCTGAATACGCTCATTGATCACGAGGTGCTTCCACCAGACATCAGCTAATTTGTGAGGGTAGCGATTTCCGAAAGCAAAAAGCCTCTTCATGTCTAACTATTTCGTGTGCTAGGTTTGGCGTCCGTGCACGAGGGTTGAACGCAGTAGTACTCGCATATATATATATATATATATATATATATATATATATATATATATATATATATACTACACAATCCGTGGTACAGATATCGTGCCATCGGACTCATGGTTGAATAGAAAAACAATATGAATAATAAGAAAAGAACTACAACAAAAGCTCTCTTTGTCAATTTTACCACTCACAGTTTTTGGAATTTTTTCAGTTTCTTCTATTTTAGGGGGAGGAAGAAGGGACACCGCAACAAACCGATGCACACGTCCGCCATTGACATCGATCTTAAGCCTTGGCTCCCAAGGTCTTCAACCAGCAAGTATCCGCATCTCTCGGACCCCAACCAGGTAGTCGAGAACAACCGGCCGAGGCCAACTGTTTTGTCAGCTTTTTCATGCGGCTTCTCCATGTTGTAGGCTGTCCACCAGACCGTCTCTTCCAGCCCTGTCCAGCAACCGCAAACAACGCACGACGCGGGTAACGCTGGACAGGCATGCGCAAATACGTGTCCCAACCACCGCAGTTGATGCAGTGAGACGAGCTCCTTGAGCGAGTGGCTTCCATGTCCCAAGGTACGCTGTCTAACTTCCACATTGCTTACTTGGTGCTGCACCACACACGGGCAATGGACCGCAAACAGCGGTGCTAGAAGACGGATAGCCTGCGCAAGTCATCTTTACGAATGAGCCAGGTCTCGCATCCGTACAACAGTACAGCACGAACAGTTGCACAATAGACCCGCCCTTTGATGGAGAGACGAATGTCGTGGCGACGCCACAAATGCCTCAGCTTAGAAAAAACGAGGCCTGCTCTCGAGATGCGCATCGAAATCTTGTTTCCAACAGTCCGGCCAGCAGTGATGCAAGTTTCCAAATAGACAAAGCTCTCCACAACCTCTAGTGTCTCACCAGCAAGCGTGAATGCAGGCATAGGCACCTGCCAGTCTTGAAGGAGAACCTTGCATTTGGATGGCGAAAAGTACATACCGTACTTTGATGCTTCAATCGCCAAGCGGTGTAATGCAAGTTGGACGACGTGTGGATTATCACCCAGCAAGATGGTATCACCAGCATAATTCAAACCAACAACTAGACTACCTGGGAGGAGCTCAACGCCAGCGTTCAACGAATCGCCTAGAGCGTTCTTCAAGACATCCTCAATGACAAAGTTGAATAGGAACGAAGAGATAGGGCATCCTTGTCGAACTCCATTGGAGACCACAAAGGTAGGCGAAAGCTTGCCATAAGCCCTAACCCTGCCCGATGTCAGACTATACAGAGCGCGCAGTATGGAGACGAACATCTCGGGGACACCATTCCTCATTAGGCAGTGCGACAGCACTGTACGATCGACAGAATCGAAGGCTGCACAGATATCCAGGAACACAGCAATCGTTGGCCTCTGCTACACATGGCGGAGCTCGAGGATCTGGTGAAGTGTGAAGATCTGATCGATGCAGCCGCGATCAGGACGAAACCCAGCTTGTTCTCGTTGCAACGCTTCGCGTGTTGGGGATAGCCTGCGAAGTATGATGGACACCAGCAGGTTACAAACGACGGGGACTAAACTTATTCCTCTGTAGCTGGAGCAGATTGTACGCAGGGCCCTTTTGAAGATGGGTACTCCCATGCGTGGTGCTCACTCACTGTGCTTCAAAGAACCAGGTAATTTCATGCAGGTAACTGCATATAGGTAACCACATGCAGCTTGCACTTGTAGCCCAAAACTCAACAACAAATTTAATCGATCCACGTGTTTTCAATGATGAATGAGGTTTTAAAGATGAACGTTGACTTTAATTGTTACGGACGTATCATGAACAATGACCGGCGATGAAAGAATAATGGAGATGCGGTGGGATGAATCCGACTTATTGCAAGAATGGAACTCGCATAGGAAATTGCTAACTCCTATTGCATTTGACCCAGTCTACCTCACAAAACAAAAGAACGAGGGTATCGGAGATGATTTATGCTTCCTATGCATAGTAGCTGCGTTTGGTTCCACACAATTAAGCACAATATTTTCAACTACGCGTGCAGTCCAACCAGGCAACCAGCAGTATATTTCAACACAGCTGCAATTTGCTGCTCTGGATGAATTAAAATAATAGGTAGAGGCTGAATTGTGCTTCTACGTTTGATCGGGGAATGGTCACGTGCAAAGCGGATATATGCAATCGTTACAAATGAGGGTATCACGTGAGCGTTTGCCCGGAAGTATTGAAAAACGCTACCCATACACCCCGAGAACATAGAGCATAAGCTTAACTAAGCCGGCGTCATGGAGTACAACCGTTGAGTTGAAGTATGCAGTCAGTAGTAGAAGCAAAGTCGAATAGACTATCAGAGGAAAGACATCGGTCTAGAAATGATGGAAATACGATAAACTGCGTCTGTCTATGCCAGCAAATCGCACAGCTCTCTTCGGTTAACGAAACCGTACATCAACTGGCCAGTAGTCAGCAAAGCATAATGTACGATTTAATCAAATTACACAATCTCATGACGGAGCAAGGTCATAAGGAAAAGAGGAATGAAAATCTATCTGACCGAAAGGTTCTGCGTGATTTGGAAGGTGATGGAGGACTCCTATTTTCGGATTTCCCGCAAACAGATTCATCGGAAGAGCAGCAAATCCAACAGACGTACATATGCACGACGAATCGCGGATCACAAACCGAAGAGAAACATAACACATTGGCGGTATCGCGGTCTCAGGTTTGTCATCGGAGTACTCAAACCCCAGCAGCCGAAGTGCAGCGAACACCAGCTTACCGATCTTCTGAGCCATCATTACCAAGGGTAGATGTCTCAGCCAATCGCAGTAAGCCAGCAGTATACAACGATCTATCGTCGGTGGAAGCAACAGCGCAATTATGTCAAACGGATAGCACTCCAAGAATAACCGTGGAGCCCAAGTCATCAACCAGAGTAGAAGTGTCCAATGGAGAAATAAAGATCAAACTTGAAGCAGGTCCTGTTCAAGAGTCTTTACCGCCGAAGACAAACTGCATGAAAAAAAGTCAAAAGATAAACTATGAGTTTGGCACCGAATTTGTACCACAGTTCCTTGATTTTCGCAATCATGCGGGGTGTCCAGCCAATCGAAACATACGCCGTATGAGCGACACACAACAGCAGTCGCTTAACTTTTATATTTGGACTGTGGAGAACTTTACCGCCGCGTATCAGGCTGAAAGTGAGGTCTGCAGTGAACCATTTTATCTAGGCCAACCTGGATATAGAATGTGTACCAAGTTGGAATTCACGAATCGTTTCATGGGGATCTACGTTCAACTGGTTTGCGGGCAGTTTGATAGTAGTCTGAAGTGGCCGTTTCGGGAAGATATTCAATTTATTCTAGTCGATCAAACAGCTCGAGGCAGAAATCTAGCTAGGACACTGAAACCATACCCGGATGATGAAGATGAACATGGTATCTGGGATCGCCCTTGGGAAACCCAGACATCATCAGCAGAAAATACAGCATGGGGTGTACCAGACTTTGTTCCCCGTTCAATGCTTTTGGATGACAGTGGGAGAGCTACGGACTATGTTCGTAATAACAAAATATACATCGCCATACGGCTACTATAGCGTTGCTCAACTTTCTTTATAAGTGAAGGACATCCTTTCTTGGATCAGATCAAATCATCTGAAGGCTTCAGATACCTTCAGGGCTCTCCGACATCTCTGACACCGGAAGATGGCTTTTCAACTTAAAGATCGTGGATATAGAGCCAAAATTGCGGGATGCTCCTCCGCACCCTTCCGAAAAGATAGATAACGAAGGGTGAAATTCGTACCGCCATCGTTACAGAAGCTAAAATTGGGTGTATATCTGTTCCACAAAATTGCCCACAGACACATACACACCAACGCTATCAACCGGGAATCCAAGAACCTTGAGCTTGCCATCTACACTATACTGTTATAGATCACGTCCAGGGTGCAATTTCTTTACTCTTAAATGTCCTATGATTTAGGATCGATTGTCCAACGTTGCCAGAACTCCACCTTCAACTATCTCAAATGCATTTAAAATGTTTCGGAAAACTGGTAGCTCGGATTGATGATTCAGTTCATCATTCGTTCACCGAGCCTGGAAATTTGTTTGCAAACGTTACACCACCATGCGAGGTGGCATCATCAGTGCGCTGAGATGCACAGTGTAATCTCGCTGATTGAATTGTCGAGCTGTGATCAGCGTGCAGGTGACTTTTTAAGGTGACGGCTTCGATCTGGGCCCCGTGATATCTACCTGTTTTCCCCACGGTGGAAGTCGTAGCTTGACTTGCTCCTGTTTAAGCGGTGTCTTGTAATTTTTAAAAAGTACTTACCGTCGTAGGGGCTGGTAAACTGGGTAGATGCTGATATGCATGTTGCTTGACTCTTTCGTTGAGAACCACGCTTCTACGAACTTCCTTTCTCTTCTAGAGTACTTAAAGCTCAGAAACCTTAAAAGAATGTTTTACTTTGGCCACACAGATAAATGGGAACAACAACAGGCATGGCGCATGCTCACGAAACGGTCTGGAGTCTGTTGGACTTAACGATCCACCTCATCAACCGTGAAGTAGAACCTTAGGGCTGCGCGGCTTTTGTGTGAGAAGGATATATGAATCTGCCTAAGCTAAGCTTAAATCCTTTCCTTAAGTACAAAAGCGCTTTAGTGTTAGGCTCATAAACGGAGTGAATGCTCACGCGCGACGTTGCGACACCAAGCCGTGCCGCCAGCTAGAACGGACCTTACGCGACAGCATCTCACCAGTTCGGTTGGAAAAATCCAACCAGTATACTGGATGAAAATATGGTAGGCCCTCTTTTATACACGTAGAACTCTCCGTAGCGTGCTGACGAAATTGCTGTCTGAGTGATGACTAAGTATGTCTATAACAAAGATACACATACATCTGTGTGGCATTGGGTGGTGCCTCGGACACTAGGTGGCAGCGATATCACGTAGCAGATGTGCCAAATATGGAACAGTAGGGAAGATAGAGGCAGCTGGACCCAGCGCATATCGCACAAGCTACAAGGAATGGGAAGCGAATCAGCAAAGGCCAGGAACGATCTAGCGTCAAAGCAGTGGTGAAAGCGGATGTACAAGCGGTAAAACTGGTGGATGGTCAGAAGATACAAACAACACCGATAAAACCCACTTTTATGAAATGCAAAATGAATACATGTTTTCAGGTTCACTACAGGGAGAGCAATGAATTGCGCGAATGCAACAGATGCAAATGATAAAAACGGGAATATTGTATGATTGAACTGCTGCACAGCCGAAAGACATGGGGGGGCAGTAATAGGTTTGCGCAGACCTGGTCGCGGTAGCTTAGCCGAAAGTTACACGCGACAAGAGCACCCTTCCTATCCCACACGTACTCGGGTAACGCACTGAGTCTTCGAAACAAGACAACGATGCGCACACGAGCGGGGGAGTAGGCGCACACGCAGCACACGGCTAGGGCGACACACACGATCACGTGACCAGGCAAGTCCAAACCAACCTACAAGAGAAGATGAAACGAACTTCGGGGCGTTCTTTTACGGCCCACAAAGGCCAAATCACATACTGCCCAATGGTTCACTTTGTGGGTGAAATGAGTCATCATGTAGAGCGCGTGATTTACGCAAGAAGATTGTTCACGTTAGCCCAGTTGCGCTCGACTCAGGCTGGCTGGATCTTGCTGCGATGTGGGTAGGAATTGAAATCTGCTTGGCGTACTTCACGCTACTGAGTTTGTGGCGCACTTTTGCTGGGTTATTTGATGTTCCCGCAATACTTATTGTTATACATATTCAAGTATGCAGTTACTCCGCATTCTGCTTGCTATGAGTTTGAATTTGACATAGCAGGGTGTACCTAAATCTACATACAGGAAAGCCGAACATTTTTCCACTAAAATTTGATGATCTCAGTACTTAGAGGAAAGTTACGTTGCTTACACTGTAGATCAGTTAGATGCGTTTGCAACCAAGAGTATTAACAAACAGCACCTTCTTATCTTTCATTCATCTGATACCCTGGTGGAACAAAGTCGGTATTTCTCCTGACGTTCTAACATGCGACCAAATAATGAGTCTAGTTGTGATGCATGTGGCTTGAAAACTTGAGTGAGCGTCGTCTGAACGAGCAGGACAAGGACGTGACCGTATGTGTACAGGCGGTGTGATATGGTAAACCGAGGTAAACTAGTCAAGCAGAATGTGTTCAACTTGGTTAGGATTGGGTCGCCGAAGATGGGGAGGTCAAGGTTTCCATAATTAGCATGTACGGTTATAAATAGATCAATAAATAAATAAACGTTTTATTCCTCGAGCGTGCGAGGCACAGATTAATTGAATGGTCCTATCAACATATTTAAAACGTGATCGCATAATATAGTTAATTTCACGTGTTTCGTTCAATGGTTCCCATATGGGTTTTTGAAGTGATTAGCAGTTTGAAAATAGTTGAGAGATAAAGAAACTGGGAACAATAATAAATGTAGATTTCACGGAAAATTCAAGTAAAGTAATACGGTCATCCATGGAACCGTCCCCAGGGGACTTGCTTCCATGCAGGCTATTCCCACGATGGGTTTCACCCGCACTTCCATGCTCCTATTGGCTCTGTGCCTATGTGGCAAGATAGTATATAGGCCATCAGAACTAGGTATCAAATATCTTTTTCTAGGGCTGTTTTACGCGTACATTATAGGCAGTAAAGCCTCAGCCCGTTCTGTCATGCGGATCAATCAAGTATGGCACCATTTTATTTTCAGCCAGAGAGTCAGCAGTAATATGATTTTCATGGGTATACTTTTTTATTTTGGAAGCTGTAATCCGTCACCACAAGAGATCACCCCAGTCATGGCCAACAGTGAAACAAAGTGGAAGATAAAGTATGAGGAATTATAAAACATAATGATGAATACAAACGCTTGTCGATAGGCCAATCACAATTTGATGGCTAGTGCCGACGATGGTACAGAGACATCAGCTTGAAAGGTGTAGTGCAGCTACGAACCAGTGCGTCAAAGGAGAAAACAGAATTGGTTAGACAGAGTGATAGAAGTAAGTTCGTTTATAAATACATACCCAAAAATTTAACTATACGTAGGTAATCTTGTAATATTGAAACGAATATAGGATATGACGACTTTCATTTTTATCCAGTACCTTTCTCATACAAATCATCTAGAGACATCATTTGGCTTAGTGTTGACCATTTATTTGCAACAGTCAGGTGAATATTAATCATGCGTCTGAATTGCGGATGGGTAGTGCAGTTTCTAATACTCAATGGAAGTTTATTCCATATTAATGCAAATTTTACTGAGAAAAAGTTTGAACGGAGCTTTCTGCGAGACTTTGTATTTGCAGCGTGTGCTCGCTGTTTCTTAGTTCATAGCGGATACGAGTCTGAAACTCGAGTTGTGGCTAATCAGTGAAGCTTAATCCGAATAGTTAGCGGTATAGAAGGCACAGATTAAGTTTGAGTCTGCGTAGCCATAGCCGCTCCAGATTTAGCGCCTCGCAACACTCACGGTATGTTATAGTATTAGGCATGTTCAAAAACCTCTTTACGAATGATCGTTGAATGTTTTTAGTGCTATGATATCCACTTTCTCAGATTACTATACACTATCGTACAGTACTCAAGCTTCGGCCTGACACATATTTTAAAGGCTTGAAGCCTGGGATCCCATAAAATAAGAGTTTGACTTATGTAGGCGATCACTTTTCTGGCAGAAGCCTGCAAGAATATAACATGTTCTAAAAAATTAGATGAGGCAGAATATCTTAGATCAAGGTCTCGGAGTGCGCCACACACAGGAATAGGGGTATCGCTTAATTTAAGGATGTTCAGAGAGGGGCCACAGCCGTAGAACAATAGATTACTCTTGTCAGTGGCAAAGTGCAACTTCCAGGAGTTACTCCAGTGCTCCAGTGCGGACAAGTCAGACTGAATACAGGTTAAATTAGGACTACATTGCCCAGGGGCGGAACAATAGACAATTTTAACATCATCCGCGAAAAGAAATGGCTTCCCGTACGAGATTTCATCAAGGAGATCTTTGAAACAGATTAAGAATAAAGCGGGCCTAGCACGCTACCTTGGATCACTCCACTAGAGTCATCTCTCCTGCATAAGAGACACCGTCTATTGTGTAACGGCTTTTGGCTTCATGATTGGATTTGGTGACAGGCAGAGCAGGCGGTAGACAGCGGGAATGCAGTCGAAGATGCACGAGATAGGTCAGTCTGACGAGTGAAGTAATCAAACTGTATAAAAATCTGGTAATATATTCACTGGAAGGTCATCTGAATACATGTTATTTACTCAGAGGTCTCCAGGAATACTACTACTACCACTACTACTACTACTACTAATAATAATAATAATAATAATAATAATAATAATAATAATGGGAATATTTCTCTTTGAGAGAGAAGCTGCGTCCATATTTGGTACAGAGCAAATATGTACAGGTGGTACCATGCGTTTGCATGGGCAATGTGAAGTTGTCGCGAATAAAACTATCGTATACTCCTCGTCTGTGCGAAGCACAGTTCAACTGGATATTACAATTCATGTTGTGTGGCAAAATCACAAGGAACAGATGTTATATTTTCGATTTTTCCAAAGCCGTCCTCAAGCTTTTTGGTTGACAAGGCTACTTGGTTAAAGCCTTCGGGAAGATTGTGGTTTTAAAAAGTAATAAATGTAGCTAAAGAAAACGCGTAAGTAAAGTAACACGGCCATTACTGGGACCACATCCTGGATGCGCGCTTGCATGCGGGTTATTCTCTCGATGGAGTATACCCGTACTTTCATGCTCCATCTGGCCGTGTGCCGGTGTAGCTTTTAAAGCAGGTAAGCTATCAGTTCTGTAACCCATATATGGGGCTGTTTTTCTGTGTGCAAAGTGTGAACAGTCAAGACACCCAGTCCGTACCATCGCCTAGTTTTCTGAGTAAAGCATATTTTTTGTCGCAGGGAACCTATGACAATGCGCCTTGCACGGGTATAATTAGTAGCGTTGGAAGCTTAAATCCGT